CTCCCCAACGCGCACGTTAATGTCCTAGAGGCAGCTCACCACTAGATCGCCCCAGGGCATTCAGAGCCCCGACAACATTATTTGCCACCAGTTGAAGGACATCTAATTCCTCCATTAGGGCTATGATAAGGAAAGGAAAGAATCATCAAGAAAAGCATGGCGGAGCAGAATAACAAAGAGGCATGGTTTTTTTCTCTATGGATCCTACCTATGACCCTAGCGTCAAAATCAGCTAGTTGTGCTCGGACAGAGCTGCTCTCCCCTCCACAGTGGTGAGAGTGGTTTGGGAGGTAGCCAGGGTGACCTCCAAGCCCTCAGTTTCTTAGGTCACCTCCTAATGACAATGCAGCGCCTCGTCCCATTCTTGAAGATAAAGCCAAGTGTCATCTCCATTATACGAATCAGAGGAATCCGTGGAGGCCGTAGGCGTAGCCAGTTGGGCCTCGAACCTTGCTAGCTGATTTTGGATGCTGGCCCGTGTAACATCCCTGCAAAATAAGAATCACCAAGATCAGATGGTCGTCAGAGAAATTGGTAATGCCATTCTAACATACCTAGGGATGCAAAGGCGCTGGTGCGAAGGGAGATCCTCTTCTAGAATATCGCCAGCAGGGCGCTTGCCATTCGCCATTGCTCTTGGCTAGGATTGGGTTTTCTGATCTGAGGATGAAGAAGGAGGAGTTGTGTAATAGCAGGAGCAAAAGCAAGTGCAGATGTGACCTCTCGGCTATCCCCTGGAAGTGTGTATTTATAGCCAAAGTTGACATGGGTAGGTTCATCGGGCCACATCAGATTGAAGTGCAGTTAATAGAAGGCGAGAGGCCATTCCAAGAATAGAGAAGGCCACGTAAGGCCAAATGAGAAAGCAGTGGTTGTAGAGATCATGAATGCAAGGAATTTCCATTTTGCTGGTATTTTCTACACTTTGGTTCAATTCCGGGTTGCGGATTTGAAAATTCATTCGCTGCAGTTTTGTGCTACAGCCAGAGTCCAGAAACTGGCCCTAAGGGTTGATCAGTTGAAGACGGTTGCAGAAAGCCAGTTTTGAAGTCTTGGAAGGGTTATTATAAGTCGATCGCTAGAACAATGGTGAAAGTTGGATTTATACAAGACAGAGAAATGCATTGACTAAATATTTGCACCTAGTGTCTCGGGTCGGATTTGTATAAAAGTTGGGAGTTACGAATTCGGAACCGCTCGAGTTGTAATTGAGGCACCAGTTTTTGGTGACCGCGTTATCGTTCGAGTTCCAGAATGCAAATTTAGAAGGTATTTTGCTCGGTGTGGTTTTATGTTTGCACTTGACCACAGACGGTCTAGTGCCATAGAGTTAGTTGATTCGGTCCGATCGGCTGTTTTCGGAACAAGGACATAAGTTCAAAGTTTTCTGATAGGGTCTTCATTATCAATTTAAAGGTTATCACTAAAGGAAATTGATGACAATGAAGGTGAACGATCGAAACCAGGACATGGAGAATAGGTACAAAAGGAATTTTTATTCATTTATCGACATAACCCCTAGTTACAATCTAAGGGTCGAGGAAGACATTGTTCACGATTTCCTTGGCCGACGTTATGTTTTCCACGGTGGCGCTGGCCCCCTTGAAGTCATCCACCAGGTCCTGGTAGTCATCGGGGTTCCCCTCCTCTGGGAAGCCAGGTTCCACCAAGCAAAGGTCGTGCCCCCGAAGGCACCTAGGCTATTGCCAGGGCAACAGCAGCACCGCAGCGGACGCCATGAAGGGCCACCTCCCTGGCGCGAATAGGAACATCTTGGAGGCGTACCTCGAGAGTGTAGCCCCACGCGTTCTGGGCACTGGTGGCATCGTCCACCGCCAACTAGAGGGCTTCCAATTGTGCCATCAGAGCTAAAGATGAAAAACACAAGAAACCGTTAGAAGATCAGCAAGATGGAAGCATCAAAGGAAACCGGGACGTTAATGATCTTACCAGTGACCTTGGTGTCCGATTCCGCCAGTTGTGCCCGTACCACGTTTACTTCCGCCTCCACAACAGAGAGGGCGGCTTGGGAGGCATTCAGAGCAAACTCCAGTTGCCCGTTCAGCCGGGTGGCCTCGGAGTAGCGGTCGATTGTCACATTCCACTAACAGCGAATGCGCTGTGTGCCATCTACGTTGTAGGAGTCAGCGGAGTCGAAGGAGGAGGTCGCTTGTGCCACCAAATAGCATCACGAGCGGCACCAGAGTGATCACCACCGCAAAAACAAATAGATCAACAAAGGGAGACAAAAAACCAAGATAGATTTGATCTTAGCCCTAGAAACGGAGATACCGGCGAGGAGGAAGATTTTCCTCTGAAAGATCATCGGCGACGCGCTTGCCGTGGTCCTTGCTTCCCTAAATGCAGTTTTTGGATCTAAGAACGAGGGGAAGAGAAGTTGCACAGAGGTGAAAGCGGAAGTAGGAGCGGATGTGATCCCTCGATTAACCTCTAGGGATATATTTATAGCTGAGGTGGGATATCGATGGGTCTTTTGAGTCGAGGATGATAAATTTGATTTATGGAAGACGGAAAGCCATCTTTAATATCAAGGTAGCCATGCATGGCCTAATAAGAGGGCAGCAGTTGTAGAAGCAACGGATGTGAAAATTTCATTCATCAAGATTATTTACGGTTTCATTCAAATCTAGGATGCAGACGTGAAATGTTATCCGCTATAGTTTTGCATTTTTACATGCGTCCAGAAGTAGGCCCTAGAATTGATCAGCTAAAGTTCAGACGATTAGCCAATGGACCAAGCTCGAAAAGCGACCAATCAAAAAAGCCGATCACTGGTGTAGTGATCGATAATGGTAGAAGAATTTGTGTGTAAGTAGAATATGTATCAGCCAAACTCAAGGAATGATGAAGGATCGGCTATGAGCATGGGTTGGAAGAGAAGGGTGGCTCAAAAGGTCAAAAGGATGATCACCATCGAGTGACAAAAGGTCATGATCTTTGATATGTCCTTGATTGAGAAGGGCCAATGGAATAGATATGCAAGGAGGCCAAATAAGTTAGCATGCAATCAGAGCAGATGGTTGTAAATGCGGCGCATGCAACGATCATGAAGTAATTTTGCAATAAAATCATTTTATACCAAAATTGGGGGGCATGTGTTGACACCAAAATTTAGTTCAGTAGAAAGAGGCCACAAGGTCAAAACTTATTGAAGGAAAGCCAAAATATTCAGCAAGATCGGCTTACTAAATTGTCATCACCTAGATGAAATGACACCATCATTTCAAGGGAATGGGACCCCATTGGCAGGGACAACAAGACATGGAGCAAGAAGACACGTCGGATTTCATAGAAAGGAAAGATTGAAGTCTAAGTTATCATAATTTAGGAAGCTTTGTTTCCTTTTCCAAATTTCTAACTGGTCTTATTCAACCAAGACTCGTAGTCAAGCCTCGGGTATAAATATTGAACCCCGGCTATTATAATAGACATCTCTCATTGATCAAACAAACAAGTACATATACTTTTTGGCTTACGCCACCACTTAGGAGTAGGAGTTGAGTAGATTTCGACGAGTTCTTTGGACAAGCAGGGCTGCACTGGACGACCTGACCTCTGGCTTGTTTGTGAGTATCCGTCATGACTTATATTGTTACTTGTATGGCTGCAACAGATGACTGATCTCTTGCAAGTTGCTGTATAAGTTATTTATTGATCTATATTGTTATTTGTAAGGCTGCAATAGATGGCTGATCTCTTACAAATCGTGGTATAGATTAGTTATCGATTCGTATCAACCTTTACAAGGCTGCAATAGACAACTGATCTTTTGTAAACGTTGGTATTAATCAAAGTTATTGATACTATGTCAAATAGTCTACTATTTAATACAATATCACCAATTGCTCGATCTAGATTGAGATGCTGCATCAGACGACTCAACCTATTGACGTACAGTGGATTGATTCTAGCTGTTTGTAGATTCATTTATATCCGATAGATGAGTGATCGTATGTTATACGATAAGATCACTAGAATCGGCTGTTTTAGCCGATAGCCTGTTTTGTTGTGGATGTACTAGCTATTTACATGCTTTTATCTATTTTTATATTGGTTAAAAGCTAGTATGTCTCTCACATGAATGCTTACACGCCTTTCCTTACATCTTTTGTATGCTTTCAAGATCATCGATTAGTTAAGATTTATATCCTTGAGTAACTGACAATTGCCGATATGATTATTCTACTCATCATGCATCGTGAACATGCTAGATATCTACTCTCTAGTCGATAGCCTTATTTCATCAGCTACTTAGTCGTATATTTGGAACTGTTTGGACAAACACCGGCATGTTCCACCTTACATTACTGATCAATTTTTTCTCCTTGTTAATTGTAGGGTCAAATTGACTGGCACGCTGTTGGCATTTCTTAGCGCAATCACCAAGTGAGGAGGTTTTAAGTCCATCACCGGCAACGGCGCTAGAAATGTCTGTTGGTATTTGTTAACACCATTACCAAGATTGAGTTCATCTTAGCAACGCTACAAAAAAACACCAACTATGATAGTTCTTAACTATTATAGAAATCATCTGCAAGCGCATGGATCTATCGTTATAGCATTTCACCTAGAAGTATTCAGGGTATCATTATTTATATTTTCCCAAAGTAGGGCAAGGTATGAAAGTTTAGCATGAGCATGAACATGATTACATACTTGCATAGTGGACCATAGTACATGACAAGGGTAAAAACGGTATTTCATGGATAGTGGATACATATCTGGGCCAACCTCAAGGATAAAACAAGAGTAAAATGCACCGGAGGTCCATTAATTTTCGTTGGGATGTCATCTAGGTCCATCAACTTTGAAACTATATTTTCGGGTCTATTAACTTTTATTAGGGTGTTATCTAGGTCCATCAACTTTGTAACTGCATTTTTAGGTCGTCCATAAACTTTTAAAATAGTTCACTGCAGGTTCATACCATTTATTTAACCTTAAATCCAACGCAACGCATGCATGCACGCACGTCGGCTTCAGCCTCCTGTCTTTGTGTCGGTCTGGATCTTGTTGTACAGCGCCACCCCGGCGACGACGCCGGCCAGGCCGATGATGAAGCCCACGAACTGGACGCCGACGTGGAGGTAGAACCACAGCGGGTCCATCCGCCGGAAGTAGCGCGCCAGGATGGCGCTGATGGGCATCAGCACGCCCCACGCGAACACGTTCAGCGCGCCGTGCGCGCGCCGCAGGCCGTAGGGGAACGACCCGTCCACCGAAGCTCTGCCTGCAGATCATAGTATAGGGATCCGATCGATCACACGGACGGTAGATGATGAAGCCATGAAATGCAACGAGCAGGTGGCTCGAGTGCTTTTCGATGTCAGCTGATGTCGGTCTGGCAACTAAAAAGTGTCAGCTGACGCTGAAGCTTCAAGAAACAAAAACCTTTTTTTTTCGCCAATCGACACACACGACTGCTTGCAGTTCAAGTGGACTTGTCGGCTCATTTTTCAGGCGCAAGCATTTCTTTATTCTCCACTTGCAAACTTGCAAGTGGTTCAGCTAAGTGCAGTGCAATATCACTCTGAACTGAAAGCAAGCAGTTTTCCATTCACCAAGAACAGGAGGAGCAGCGTACCGGTGGTGAAATCGAAGGTGAAGGAGGTCTTGTCCTGGTGCCTGGTGAGCTTGTTCTTGACGGGGATGCTGTTGCCGAAGGCCATGATAATGTGCTGGTGGGTGAGGCGGCAGGAGAACCTGAGCTGGAAGGCGAGGTAGATCTTGGCCTGCTGCACCACCACGGTGTGGTCGTGGTCGTTGGAGACGAGGAAGCCGCGGTCCACGACCACCTTGGAGCTTCTCTTGCCGCGCAGCGCGAACTGCCGGATGTGGGGGAGCCCCTTCTTGCCGATCCACCCCACCATGGAGCTGGAGCCGATCATCAGGCCGACCCTGGAGAAACCCATGCCCACCCACCCCGTGCTGTACATCGTCGACAGCACGATCCGCAGCACGTTGTTCTTGTCCTGGTGGTACTGCATTGCAATGATCGATCCATCCGAGAGGAGTTGGCTTGGTTCAAACGTCAGAATTCATAGATGCTGCTTGCAGCTGTACTGTATCTGTACGCCCTATAGATCGGCAGTTCATCACAACAATCGGGAGTAGAAATATAATGCTACTACTAGCTACAACCGAGGATTTACTATTGCATTACTCTCTTTTTCTTGATAGGTAGATCATCGACGCTGCACTGAACAGCATCAACCACGACAAAGATGGCCAGAGGTTCCAAGAACAGAACACTGAGCAGCTCAATTATCCACCTGACTCCGACCACACACGTACAGCATACGTACCCGGAGCACGAAGTTGTTCCAGACCGGCTGGCAGGCCAGTCCGGAGTAGTTGGCGGCGAGCACGGGCGGGAGGTCGCCGTTGCAGGTCTCCAACTGCGCCGTCGCCACCGACGCCACGCCAAGGACGACGAGCAGCGTTGCCGCCACCGACGCCACCACGCCACCCATCCTAGCGCGCCGACAATGCCGCCTGCAGCACCGGCAGCAACGCGAGACAACTGGTGCACGGAGCTCAGCCGCAGGTTGCTTGCGAGTTTAGGGAGCGACTGAGGGAGTTGGGAGGTTGTGGCCCTGTTCCTGGCTCGTGCCGTCGTGCTTGTGCATGCCTCCCTCGGATGGAGCCCGCACACGCTGCCGCGGTGCCGGTGAGCCACTGAGCCTTGCGGCGTGGGCTCACATGGGCGGGCGGGCACAGCACAGGGCAGCCACAGCCAGCCACTGCCCCACTGCGACGGACGCTAGCCTTGGCTGGTCTCCACCGACGCAAAGACCGGAGGCCTAAGCCGACGTGCATGCATACATGCGTTGGATTTAAGGTTAAATAAATGGCATGGACCTGCAGTGAACCATTTTAAAAGTTCATGGACCAAAAAATGCAGTTACAAAGTTGATGGACCTAGATGACACCCCAACGAAAGTTAATGGACCAAAAAATACAGTTTCAAAGTTGATGGACCTAGATAACACCCCAACGAAAGTTAATAGACCTCCGGTGCATTTTACTCATAAAACAAAAACAAAGAATAAAAGAATGTTCCTACACGGAGCCGACATGTTCTAATATAGACGTGCAAAGAACAATTAAAGATCATACAAGTTACATGACTAGAGTTAGAACTAAGTGTGAGATAGACGGGGAGATCTCGGGGATCTGGTCTGCCAGTGCATGGGAGACTTTAAAACTCCTACACAATACCCAGATGTGGGGGATTAAAAGGGACGGATAGGGTTGTCACCACCTATCACCTAATCATTAACAGTGGGATATTGTCATATCCGAAGGTTCCCGTGTACCCGAGCATCACGCCCGTGTACAAGGAAACTACCCATATCCCCCCGGAACTCCGATCCTACCAATCGATAAGAAAGAATATAGGCAAACCTGAAGCAACGACGAACCATCACCCCATCCCTAGCTCTACTTCTACTAATACAAATCATATGAATGATTAAGCATGAAGTTGAACATGTTAAGATCATGACAAATAAACTATATGCTAGTTCATAAATCATGATTATAACAAGGCAACTATACTCTAGTTCATATGCACTACTATATAAATGATATGAGAGCAAGACATTGGATGAACTCTTCATAGTATTATTTATACCAAGATGTCACTCTTCTTCCAAGGAGCCAAACCCTCCTTGATAGCTTTGCTAGCTCCAAATACTACTACAAAAGCTAAGAGAGTACAAGTAGAGAGGTGAGGTGTGTAGCTCCAAATATTGTGTTTTTTAGATTGAGCTCCTCCCTTGCTTATATAGTGAAGCATGGTCGGTTTGGCCTCAGTAAATTTGAAAACCGACCAAAACACACGTAGCATGGTGGCTTGCAACCACCAGAGGAGACTGGGCCTAGGCGACAGTGGTAGCGGTGCGGCCGCACCCCTACTGCACCCACACCCTGGTGGGGCCGGCTCGCAACCGCCTTCGCATGGTCAGTTCCTAGGTGGGCCTGGCCCCCTCCCACATCAGTGCTCGGCCCTGGTTTGTCCTATAGGTGGGCTTCTTCATGTATTTCCTTTACGCATTTCTCCATTGCGCTTTCTACTTTGCACATTTTGCTTGGTTTTGTATATTTTTTCACTTGTATTCAAATGTGTGTCCTGCAAAACATGTTTTCTCCAATACAAGTGGAACTATGTCAATAGTAAAGGCATATGTGTCAAAATATTGTTTATTTCTCCTGTTTTGGACTATAATTGGCATTCGAATGTTATCTTTAGTGACCGCCAACAAATCCCCAAGCTTAACCTTTGCTCATCCCGAGCAAATAGCTAAGTACTTGGTTGTTGATCTGGAGTTGCTACTATGCCAATACAATTCATAAGTGCCATGTCTATAACAAAATATTCTTCCACAATTCAAATAAGTTGGCATTTCTATCCACCCTTTACCTTGATCCTTGTGGGATGTATAGCTTTTCCAAGTTCTTGGGCGGTTGCAAGATAGAATGGTTATAACAGAATCACCAGTCATTCGTTCTTTGATTAACCATCTATCTAGAGGTTTTATAAGTTTTGCAAAACAAATGTAAGTTGCTCAAATGATTCACTCGATCGCTCGTTGTGTATGAAACCTCACCAAGGCATTTGATATTTTGCCTTCTTTTTCATAACCTACCACTAAGGCTTTTGATTGGAGTTTTGGGTAGGTATGAAAGTGGGGCATACTTGCATCACATATTTTGCTAAATAAAAAACTGGACCTCAAGGAGACGCAAGTCATACACTTTGATCAAGACATGCAAATGTGTGGAATTTTCATAATTTCCTAATTCTAAATATTTTTGGTACTCCTTTAAATCATGAATCTCTCTCTTTTTTGAATGAATGCCATTATTAAAAAGTACGGGCTATCTTTATTTCTTTCTTTCTTTTTCTTTTCTTTTCCTCATGATCTTTGGCATGCATTTTTTTCTCTCATGCCTTTTTGGCATGGATATTTTCCTTCCCTTTTTTAGCATAGCCCATACTATTATTTTTAGGCATATGAAATTTTTTGAGAGAGAGACATGATAAATGAATGGAGTAATTATTTGGTGGACAGAAAAAGCATGTTTTATGTAACTCTTAGTGTAAGAGTTAGCAGTTTATTTGTGGGTGTACGTGTGTCTTGATCATGGGTGCATGACAAGAATCTCAATAAGGGTGAGAACAATTTGACAAAGCTCAATGTAATAACATGTAGCATATGACTAAGGTTTTGAATTTTGAATCATGTCATATGGCCTTGGTAGGTATTCATAATCATTGAGGAACTTTTGATTTTAGCATTTTTGAAAATAAAATCTCCAGATGTCAAGTTTCTCTTAGAACAAAGGTGTAGCAAATTCTATTTGTACCATATCATAACTCGCAACAACTTAGAAAAGGAGCATGCATTTGCAACCCACAAGTTTTTCAAGTTTTTAGGAAGAGATATTTTTAGCCAACAAACTTAAATCTTATGGAATACTAAGTTATAACCTAGGCATAGATGAATTATAAATAGAGCAACTATTCATCATTTCAACTTAGGAGAAACTAAACATTCCTTAGAACACATATGAGAATGGAATTCATGTTTTTGGTGTTTTTTCATATTTCATTTTTTATGAGTGAAAACAAATATAAGTGATAAATAAAAGATACATGTTACCTCCCCCAAGCTAGCTTATGGCCGATTGCTTGGTGATGACTATGAGGTAGCTTTATTATATTTATTGCATATATTTTTTATATAATTATACCACCCATGTCTATACTCAGCGGTTTTGGTTTGATGATCAAATTTAAACATCACATTTATATTTTATCAAGGTAGGCTAAACAACCTAAGCACCATGCTTAATTTGAAAAGCCTAGGAAAGAATGATTGATCACTAACCATACTTCAAACCAAAACATACTTGTATGGAACAGGGTGAGTTTTATTCTAGATATACGAAGGGTGAACTAATTGTGTTTATTTTTAGCATAGCATAATCTATAGTTTTATTTTAAGCAACTTTTTATTAAGCAAAGTATAAAGGATAACTACCGATTTACCTTCGGCAATGGCTCATTGTTTTAAGTCCAACCAGCGGGACTCTTCTTCCTTCATTTCTTGCTTGAGGATGGTACATCCGTGCCCGGAGAAGTAGGTTGTACCTTTTTTGGTCTCCACACCATTTTGTTGGATTTGGGTGGTATGGTGGTAGACTTCGGAGCTTCTTCTATTTGTTTCCACACCTTCTTATCCTTTTTGGGTGGTGTGGGAACAACCTTCGGAGTTTCTTCCTTTTTCTTCGGGTTCTTCTTTTTCTGCTCTAGCCTCTTTTAATTTTCTTTATTTTTCTTGGCGAGGCTGTCCACCAGTTGAGGTTGTATTTCAACCTCCTTTATGCCTTGTGAATTCGACCCATACTTAATTCTTACCATGGAGCATTGCTCCTGCCTAGGCCAAAAGTCAAACTTTTCCTCTTTACCGTTGATGTTGAAGCAGATTTCTCTAGCTCCAACATCAATTTGTGCTCCCACAGTGCTGAGGAATGGTCACTCAAGGATGAGGGGTGATTCCTTCGTTGTCTCCATGTCCAACACCAGAAAGTCGACTGGGGCAAAGTAACCCTGGATTTTCACTGGAATATCTTCGGCAATACCTGTCGGGTAGCGGACCGTGGAATCGGCTAGCTGGAGCATCATTGGTGTTGGCGCGAGGTGGGTGAAGTTCAACTTGCCAAAGATGATCTTGGGCATAACGCTTACGCTTGCCCCAAGGTCGCACAAGGCATGATCAAATTGCTGGGTGGCTATTGAACATGTCATAGTGGGGCACCCAGGGTCCTTCTTCTCTGGTAGATAGTTGAGTATAGCAGCGACTACATTCTTCCGTCAGCTTGATGATCTGTGTGGATGGCAAAGGTCGTTTGTTGTTGATGATGTCTTTGATGTACTTTGCATAGGAAGGTATATGTAAGACGTCCATTAGTGGGTCGCTTACATGGATCTTCTCTATCATCTCAACAAAACAAACAAATTGCTCGTCCATGGCCTGCTTCCTCTTTCTTGTGGGAAATGGCAAGTAGCTTGTATCAATAAAGTCTTCTGGTGCCATTTCCTCATCTTCTCCTTGATCTTTTTGTGTTTTTGTTGATGGTGAAGGTCCTTCCCCTTGTTGCCCATGTGCTTTTCCTATTTTATGGTTAGAGTTTGGTGGATCACAAGTGGACTTACCTCCTCTTGTGGTCACCGCATTAACTTTTTCAAGAGAATTCTTGGGTTGCCCTGGGATCTTTCCTTTATTATTAACAGGAATAGTTGCAGCAAATTGAGCTAATTTTGTTTCTTTCATTTTATTGAAGCTCAATTGATTTTGAACAGAGGAAGATAAACCTTCTATTCTAAAGTTAATATTTTCTAGCATTTTGTCATTATAAGTTAGCTTTTTAGTGAGATTTTCATTTATTTTTGCTTGACCTAAAA